CATACCGAGTACCTTTGCGCGGGATTGTGAGGGCGCTGTCTGTCACGGTTTGGTGTCAAAGGTTGACTCGATTCTTTTCTCAACACGCTTGGATGTGAGATTGACTGACGTTCCATTGCGCAGGCGGAGACATGACATTGAGTACGTATTGCATTGCAGTTTAAATCACTGAATAAACAACTTCATCAAGTTTGCTATCATACGGTTGTGTGATTGACCTCCTTTTCAACCGTCGAGCATGTGAAGTACATTTATTTTTATCCGACGATGTACGTAGAAAGACTGATTTTACAATACTTATTAGATATACTCGTATCACCAGAACTTATATATGGATCAGAAGTTTGGAATGCATTCAATATTCCAAAGCAATGTAGAACCAACAATAAAAATATGACTGCCCATTTGAATGGATTTTTTTGATCAAAGTCAAGGGATAGAGGGACTGTGCCTGTAATGGGCTCAGATAATAATAACAACGATAAACCACGGCATACTATCATTCTAAAAAATATTATCATACTTTACAACTTTATTGCATGACAGCATACTATGAATGTGGTACTGCAAAATACAAACTACTGTTACATTTACTAGATATAAATTTAACCAATGACCACTTGTTATCTAACTTGAAAATCAAGACAAGTTATCATATTGCCTTTTTAAGGATAATTAATTAATTCATCAGTTGTTTGTTTTTCATACAGTGTAGTAAAATCAGTTAATGACCAGGTTCTTTTCAAATTATTTTAGAGCTGTATCAATTTCAAGTATATCTGTGAAATATACAAATGCTGACAGTTATAGAATAAAAGTATGTCTTATGTTGGAACAGAGTACTCCTTTCCTCAGTTGAGTAGGTGAGTAATCCGTTAAATCACTCAACTGAGCATGCATTAAAAATACACATGCAATTATATAAGTATAGTATGGATAATGGTTCTTATGAATTTCTAATAACCGTGGAAACTAAAAAAAATAATAATTTTTGGTAAAAAGTGATATTTTTGACTTCTTGTTGAAAACTACAAGTTCGATTGCTTTGATATCATACATATAGGTACTTCAGGTAGACCACTTTCAGATTTGTTCATTTTCTAATGATATCTTCAGTTCTTTAATTGAAATGTGCATTGCTAACAGCGGAGCTATCTCAGCCGAGAGGCTGCTTGTTTAAAACTTTTAGACATCAAAAATTATTTTGTAAGACACTATCTATATCCTTGCCATAGAAACAGTGATAAAATGCCTTAAACAGACAAAAAAATGATATTTTCACTGTATTTTATTGATAGTTTTTCTCTTAACTGATGACAATGACCCCATATTTTTTTTTATTTTTTCATCTTTGTAATATGATACATCAAATGACAGTATTATTACTTTTGTCTAGCATTCTACCATAAAGTGATTTGTCTGAGCATTCCTGAAATTACTCAGAATGCAACATGTCAGTTGAACTTGTGAACAGCCAAGCGATTCATGTGAGCATTCCTGAAATTACCCAGAATGCATCATGTCAGTTCAACTTGTGAACAGCCAAGCGATTCATGTGAGCATTCCTGAAATTACCCAGAATGCATCATGTCAGTTCAACTTGTGAACAGCCAAGCGATTCATGTGAGCATTCCTGAAATTACCCAGAATGCATCATGTCAGTTCAACTTGTGAACAGCCAAGCAATTCATGTGAGCTTTCCTGAAATTACCCAGAATGCATCAGCTCAGTTCAACTTGTGAACATCCAGTTGATTTTATCAAACTTCTACTTAGGCTCACAGAAAAGCTGCATTCCATACGAGGTAGTAAGATACTTGTTACTGGTGGTGGTGGATTCTTTGGCTTACATCTTGGTCATCTACTGCATACACTTGGTGCTATTGTAACGCTCACTGATATCAGACAACCTGTACAAGACGTATACAGTGGTATAAGGTTCATACAGGTATAGCATTAGACCATTTTATTTTATTTTTATGTTTTTAATACTTGAATGATGACAAAATCTTAAGATAATCAGATGACGTTAAGCAAATGAAATAGACAAAATATGAACAACATCTACAAATGACAATTTAATCCTGAATTTGCATTACAATGAATGAATCCTTAGTCAGTTTATTGCTTGCAGACATAGCTATTGATTACCGAAAGATTTCAAAGCCACAACAGTTATAAATATGCATGTTGCTTTTTAAGTTTTTATTTATTAATTTGTCAGAATTGAATATCTTCATGAATAATTAATTAGTTTCCATCCAATGGCTAATGACATAATTTGCTTAGGTCAAGTAATTTCTTGTCATGCAGACATTTTATATAAG